CTTCTTCTTCTTCTTCTTCTTCTTCTTCTTCTTCTTCTTCTTCTTCTTCTTCTTCTATCATAGGATTTGCAAGAGTAGTAAGTTCTGCTAAATGCAGTGACTTCTTCCCGAAAATAAAAGAATTATAAATCTCTCCTAAAGCACAATGTTGGACCTATGATGCTCCACTGTTCAACACATACTGGTTGTATATATTATCTTGAATACTATTTTACTTTTCAGAACAAAAGATGATCGAGATAGAGAGATACATATGTGTGGATTGGATCTATATAACAGCAGTTGAAAATATCAGTTTGAAAGGACATTTCCTCCATAATAAATTAATCTGGTCAAATAAAGAAAAAGATTCATTTTCAGGAGAGATTTCCCACCCCTCTGAAGCAATAAGCTAACAAGAATATCATTTGGTTTCTGACTATTACTAGGACAGAGATACAACATGGTTCTAAAACATCCAACTCCTTACATGAAATCAACAAATATGTCTTGAAAGGGGTGTCTTTTGAATGTGATCTCCTCAGAAGCAGCAAAGTTCTGAGAAATTATGCCACCAAGAATGACTTCACCTGGTTCATGGTATATATGAAGAATGGGATTGGGGTCACTCCTAGTACATTTTGCAAAAGGAATCTGGCAAACACTTATCGGGAGGAACACTAAGACCAACACTCCAACGATTAGAAACATATATGAAAATCTTCCTGTAAAAAAGCTATTCATTTCCCACACTACTGGTGAAAAACTCTTAAACTATATAGCCAGAATTCAAAGCCAAACTCAAGAAATATTAGAACAATATGCTTGCTTCCGAACAGGTGGACCACAACTGTTTTGTATTCACAATTTCAATGGTTAGAAGGAATAATTAATTCTTTAGATTTGAATTACGAAATTGGTAATGACAGGGAATTTCCAAAGTCAAGGGAGAAGTCAATTAAGATGATAGGAATCGGGCTGATGATTATGTCCAAACTGTGCCTCATTATTTACAATATTGTGGAAGGAAACATGTTTTTCCTGGTGCTGCACAAACTTTTCAGCTTACTCCCATGGTGCAACCGCAGAGGCAACATTTGTAATGACCACATGCAAAGGAAGATGGAACAGAAAAGCCAATTTCTAACCATGTTTTTTTCTTGAAGTAGCCATGCAGTTTGCATTCAGCAGAAAAAAAAAGTCAGCCCATTTTCAACAAGATTGCAAGAACTCTTTTATTACCTTCAGGATTATTAATAGTTATCTTCTTTTAATTATCTGTAAGTGCTTGTTAGACAGCCAGTTTGGTGTAGTTGTTAAGGCACCAGGCTGGAAACCAGGAGATGTGTAAAATTTAAGCTTTAACCAATGGTTTATAGAAGCTAAACACAGTCTTGACTCAACTTTTATCATACCTGTCTCCAGATGTAAATGTGCTTTGATGAGTTTAGACTGTACTGTCTCCAAGGAGGTGAAACAAGAAGCTGGGGGGCTGACCAAGATGCCATAAAGGAGCTGGGCTAGTGGCTTAGCCTGAAAAAGCTTAAGTGCGGCTGGAACATAGTATCCTCCCTTGGAGCAGAAAAATTTGAGGATGGTATTGGCAGATCTTTGTCCAGTAGAGCAGCATATTCACACTGGGCTTTCATTGAGTCAGTGGCATGCATGACTACTCCTAAATACCTAAAGCAAGTCACTTGTTCTATGGCCATTAATTCTCCATGAACGGAGATTCGGCCTTTTGGCAAATGCCATAAACTTGGTTTTCTGATAGTTTATTTCTAAATGATCATTGTTGCAGTATTGGACCAGAGTTCTTAGGGCTCAAATAAAAGGGTTAGTTCCACAAGAAACCATGGTTTAGACTTCTTTCCTTTGCAGTAAAACACTTTGTATATTATGAACTCTAACACAGATAACAAGAGTTTGGTGTAGTGGAGAAGGCACCAGGCTAGAAATTGGGAGACTGTGAGTTCTAGTCTCACCTTAGGCACAAAGTCAGCTGGGTGATCTTGGGTCAGTCACTAGCCCTAGGAAGAAGGCTAAGGCAAACCACTTCTAAAAAACCTTGCCAAGAAAACTGCAGGGACTTGCCCAGGCACTCTCCAGAATTCAAAGCAGACTCAAAGGCAACCTCCCCCACCAAAAAAAACATGGATTGAAACCCTGTAAATTTTAGTACAATTTAGACATTCAATGAACAATTCTCAACATGATAATATGAGAAAAAAAGGAAAGACTCATCTCCCCATTTTCCCTGCACAAATAGACAGAAGCACCCTAATATAATAAAAATAAAATAAAAAATAAAATAAAATAATAATATAATATAATATACTGTATATGTCAGACAGAGACAGAGAAAGATGCCATATTTTGGGGTACTTCACTTACATCCTTGGTTGAGCCTTTAACTTTGTAGGAGAAAAAAAATTATACTTACAAGTACTGATCAAATGACTCATCTAACCAGAGAGTGAAGTGCGGATAATTTCTTCAATTCCTCCTGCATGCCCCCAAAAGAACTACATGTGCAATCTTGTGTTTGCTCAGAATAGTTGCTATGTCAAGAAAATCATTTGAGTTAGGTCTACCTATAACAGCTACCAGATTATTCTGGAAATCACATTTATAGTTTGGGATGACTCTGCCCGGTGTGGAGAGAATTTCCACTGCAGCGCAGATATACGTTTTGGGTTAAAATAGTTATAGATATTGAGGCCTAGGGTGATATTAGTTAAAATTTTAGGTTTTGTATTAATCTCCTATACAGCAAATGCCCCAGCCATGCTATGTTGATAGGTCTGAGTCTGGGATCTGCAATGCATTCTTTTAAAATAAATACCTTTTGTGCGGTTGTGTTTTGTGAGATCTATATTAAATCTGAATACGTTTTCCTAATAACCTTGAACTTGAACTTCAATAACCTTGAACTTGAACTGTGTCACTCATATCCAAGGAATTCATGCTAAAAATAACATATCCTGCCATTAATTTGAAAGGCAACAGTTAAATCTTTAAAAAATATGTCAAGTTAACTCTATATTCTGTTTCTCTTACTCCCAGATTTGTTAGTGTTTTTTAAACATGGATATTAAAATGGTAGCAAAAGAGCTCTGCCTTTGTCTCTCTGTCTCTCTCTCTCATTAAAAAATTGCTAGGGGATCATATATACCAATACAAGAGTGGTGCAGAAATGGAGAAGGCTACTGCTACATCAGGTTTGGGAGGTGTTTTGTGGAACAAAACTATCTACATCCCAGAATAGAAGGAATTACAGATGCGCGCACAAAAGACATGGATGCACTGGTCAAGAAGCAAAGTGGTTCTCCCTGTCACCAACCCCCAGAAATCTTTCCAAAGACCACAAGAGAAGGCAAACTCCTTTATTCCCTTTGGGTTTACCAATAGTTCAGGTATTCACTTTGGATTATCCATAAATCCCTGCTTTTTTATGGGCCCAAGTCCAGCAGACGAGAGACTATTGTATGCATTAGGTTCCGTGATCAAAAAGGTCTCTGATTGTAGGACTCAGAAGAGGCCAATCACACTGCATTGTTTTAAGCAGTACGGAGAAGAAACATAGGACCATATGCATGGAATTAACAGAGAAGGAAAGTATTTTTTTCTCTTCTACATCAGGGAGAACCCAATCAACTCCTGTAACTATTTTAGGGGCTTCATTGCCACTAACCCAAAGATATGAGATCTGATAAATGGAAAAACCATCAGTCTAGCTAAGTCTCCTTCATTCTTCTAATGAGGTTTCATGTATTGTCCCAAGTATCCAAATCTCCTTTGAAAAGTAATATCTCTTCTTCTTTTCATGCCTGGAACACAAACATTATACTGGTTTCTTTATTTTCAACCACTCAACACCTTTGTTCATTATTCTTATTCTTATATTTTTATCCTATCTTTTATATGCAACTCAAGGCAGCAAATGTATGTATATACTCCTGCCTCCTATTTACCCACAATAGGTTGAGAGAGAGTGATTAGCCCAAAGTCATCCAGCTGGCTTTCATGCCTAAGAGAGGCCTAGAACTCACCAACTCCTGGTTTCTAGGCCAGCACCTTAATCACTACACCAAACTGGCTCTCATCCCACATGATTAACCTGGTTAATGAATTAATCAATTATCTTGGTACTCAGAACATTAACAAAGGGAGTTGCTCAGACAACATAACAAGTTCCAAAAAGATGAAATGTAACATCTGTTTTCCCCTTTATGCCTGTCCCCTTGTATTACTTGAAGCATCATGAAAATGGAATGTGTGATCTTTGAAGTACCTGCTGCCTCAGGTGATTGATCTCATAGTGCTTAATGGCTGAACCCACTGTTAACAAATGAAATCTAAAAGCACTGTTCTTTAATTAATTCTCTTTATTAGACACTCCCTTTTATTCAGATCAGGCCTCACCATAATGATGTAGCATTTGGGGAAAAAGACACAAGCCAGAAGCCCAGCACTAGAGGCCAAGATGGAGAAGATCTCCACAGCCACCATGTATTTCCCCTTGGTGCTCATGTAGGCAGGGACAAAGGAGAGCCAGACACTGCAAAACACCAGCATGCTGAAAGTAATCGACTTGGTTTCCTGAAAAGTGTCTGGTAACTTTCTGGCTAGGAAAGCTGCAATAAAACTGACAAGGGCCAGGAAGCCCATAAAACCTAAAACAGAATAAAACATTGCAACAGATCCTTCATTACATTCTAAAATGATTTCACTACTTATGGACCTCATGTCAAAGTTTGGGAAGGGGGGAGATGTTTCAAGCCATACAGCACAAAAAGTACTTTGAATAAGAGAAGAGGAAAGAAGAATGAAAAGAGCCAGTCTTTTCCCCACCCATGTCCTCATCCGAGATCCTGGTTTGGTGGCCATGAAAGCAAGAACCACAGTGATGGTTTTGGCTAGCATACAAGAAACGGCCACCGAGAAGATGATCCCAAAAGTGGTCTGTCGAAGGAGACATGTCACCTTTGTGGGTCGACCGATGAAAAGTAGAGAACAAAGGAAGGAGAGGAGGAGGGAGATGAGGAGGGTGTAGGAGAGGCTGCAGTTGTTGGCCTTGACGATGGGAGTGTTGTGATGCTTCAGGAAGATTCCGAGCACCAATATCGTGATAAAAGAAAGCACAAGAGCTGATGTGGCTAAGCCAGTCCCCAACAGTTCTTTGTAGGATAGGTAAGTTACATGCTTTGA